TGGGTTAAGGGTTTTCGAAGCTATTTCACCTGTATTTTTTTCCTGGTCATTATTCTGTAAACAAGACAGTAGGAGAACTATTTATGTAGCATTTCCATTGTAATAGGTTTTATAAGTAATCTAGAGGTGTTTTAAAGTTTGTGGGAGACTGACAGATAAAACACAGAGGGATTCCAGAGGCTCGGGAGGCTGAGGCAGGAGGATCCCAAGTTCAAAGCCAGACTCAGCAAAAACAATGTGCTAAGCAACTCAGTGAGACCCTGTCTTTAAATAAAATACAAAATAGGATTGGGGATGTGGCTCAATGGTTGTGTGCCCTTCAGTTCAATCCCTGGTACCAACACACACACACACAAACACACACCGGGAAGAACTGGGAAAAAAGAATACATCTCCTCTGGACGACTCAAAGGTGAATGACACCATCTCATTGACATGAAGAGAAGCAGCACTTTTTGGAGGGCCAGAAACATTCATTAGAGATGCCACGATTCATCAAAAATGATGTATCTTGGATTGTTCGAGTGTCTCTTGTACGTGGGATTTTGGATTTCACAGCAGTTGGAGAAATCTGCATCACACCTGTAGATAAGTTCTTCGTATTGCATTGGTGTTGATTCTCTGTTTTCATCTTTATCCTCTGATTATGTAAGAGTACCACCGGATCCTGAAGGAAGGGCATGTGAGAATTCTGGGTACAACTTCTTTTATAAGATTATTTCAAGGTAGAAAGTTTAAAGGAACGAGTAAAATTGTCATCGTATCCGGGGTGTCCTCCTCCATGTTGCTTTGAAGTCTCTGTTAACTATCTGTTAGCAGGAGCCTGGTTTTCATGCGAAATTAAAATTCTAAAAATGCTTATCGAGTAAAATTTCAAAGTCAAATTTCAACCTCCTTCTCTCTCTCTCACTCTTTTTTTTTTTTTTTAGGCTAATCTGGTTTGTATCACAAGATTAATGAAACATTTTTCTGATTTGAGAAAAATGTTTGACTCCAGTTTAAGTGCATATAAAGAGGAGTCAGGAAATGGAGCCAGTGGTGTGTGGAGTTCTTGGGAGGCGCTGCATTCTTCCTTGCATTTCATCTCCCTGGTGTTGGAGGGTGTGGTTTGGCACTAGCTCTTGTCTGCCGCTCTGCAGGTCAGGAGTGGGTTCATTAGTTTGGACTGACAGTTATAATGCGATGTTCAAAGCCAAGAGGGTTTGCAGATAACAAGAAGAATGACAAAAATGTGTGCCTTCAATGGCCAAGTCAGCTGGCTTGGGTTGGGCCACACTGATGCTCCTGGGCACGTGTTTCCCTCATGGAGAGAGGATTCGTCTGGAAAGCCATTGCTTCACTCTCTCCCTTCTACTGCCTCCTGTGGTTTCAGCTGATTTGAGACTCTCTCTACACTCTCCTCTTTTCTTTCCCTTTTGATGAGAGTAGACGAGGCTGGCAGCCAGTTGCTGTTGAGCTATAATAGAGCTAGTGATATGTACAAAATTTGATTACTTCTGTCAACCTCAGATTGAATAAGAAAGTGCATACTCTAGACAGATACTTGCAACATAAATGGTCTATTGATTTCACAAGGACTAGAAACGAGGCCACTGTGTAATCTAGCAGAAGAGCAGATCTGTGAAGAGCTGATTCTAATGTCACATGGGTTTTCAAAGGTGCCTCCTGCTAGATATTTTTAGAAGAGCCTTCAGAAAACTTTTGCTAAACTGATGATAGCTCCTGATTTTCTTCATGGTCAAGGTTTGAGAGAGATTCCAGGGAAGCCTGTATACTTGTTCAGTGGTCTGCTTTTCCTGTGTAGAAGCTGGTTCAGAAGTTATGCGATCTTCTTTGCTCCTGAACCATGATGACATTTTCTCTTAGTTTAATATGAATGTTCTAGAAATTTCCCACAATGGAAAGTTCTATTTGACAGAGGAAAGTTCATCGGTCAGTTCCATAGTTAGCTGTATGCCAAGAAGTAATGAAAACAATGAGTTACATAGTGCAGCCTTGGGACATGGAAAAGTTTTTAGGGGATGGATGAATTCTATTATTAATCCATGTTGTGAGGCCTGGGGCCTTACATTGGAATATTTTTTTTTAAAAAAGTTTTTATTTTTGAAAATTTGTACCCTTTTGATATTTTCTTTGTTGTATATGGATTTTGTTCTGTTGAGTTTTATTTTAGGGATTAAAAATTTAAATCCCAAATAGGATGTTTTAGGAAAGAGGTATTTAATATCATTATACATAAATCTATTCAAACAAAGAAAAACTGAAAAATGTGATAATCTCTTTGAATTGATTTTAAAAAAAGAAAGAATTACATCTTGCTTTTGACAGGGAAGGGGAAATTTTTGCTTGGGTCTAGATCCTGATTTTTTAATCCCCCCTCCCCTTTTTTTTTTGTTACTAGGGATTGAATTCAGGGCCACTCAATCACTGAGCCACATCCCCAGCCCTATTTGTATTTTATTTAGAGACAGGGTCTCACTGAGTTGCTTAGTGCCTTGCTCTTGCTGAGGCTGGCTTTGAACTCCTGATCCTTCTGCCTCAGCCTCCTTGGCTGCTGGGATTATAAGCGTGCATCACTGTGCCTGGCTTGTTATCCCCTTGACTACCTTCAACGTTTGTGAGATTCTCCATCTTGAAACACATCTGGCCTAAAATCTCTTCCTAAAAATAATTCTAACTATTTACTCACAAAAGGCTGCTTTAATTGGGCTTATTTCTATATATGAGATATATACAGAAAGAGAGGTGGAAAAGATGGATTGGTCATGGATTGAAGTGTCATGTTTACCTTTAGAATTTCATATTCTTAAGAGATTTCAGAAGCAACCCTCTGGTGAGGAGGTGCTTAAGCAGCCCCCTCCTGGAGATGCAAACCTGAAGGCCCCTGACCTTCTGTGGGTAGGAACCTGGACAGCTATCCCAGTAAAAATGCTGGAATTCTTTGATGCCTGTTGGAACTGGCCACTGCTAAAGATGGACATAGCAGGATATTGCGTGCTGTTGCCAAGGTCCATTCTGATCAGATGGTGACCATATCTTAGTGTTCATTTTGTGTTGTTTTGAATATTTAGTTCTTCCTTTGAGAACAGGGACATTTCAGGGTACTGATCAAACTGGGCTTTGGTAGCCACCAAGGAAATGAAATGACATTGAGATTCCACTTCATACCTCCTAGGATGGCTATAATAAAAAAAGAGACAGCAACAGGTGTTGGTGAGAATGTAGAGAATTTGATGAATATATACAAAGGTACAGTTTGGAAAACTGGTAGTTCTTCAAGAGGTATGAGCATAGATTTACCTAGCAATTCCATTCCAGGAGATGTAGCTCTAAGAGAAATGAAAACATATGCCCACATATAAGATGTGTTCGCAGATGTACAAAACATAAAAAAGATTCATATTAGCCAAAAAGATAGAAACAAGCCAGATATCCATGAACTGATGAATGAGTTGGTAAAATATATTTTATCTATGTAACAGAACATTATTATCATTATTATTTGGTACTAGGGATTTAACCCAGCCCTTTTTATTTTTTATTTTGGGACAGGGTCTTGCTAAGTTGCTTAGGGCCTCACTAAGTTGCTGAGATCCTCCTACCTCAGCCTTCCGAGTGCTGGGATTATAGGCCTGAGCTACCATGCTTGGTAATGGAATGTTATTCAGTCATAAAAATCAAACACTGATACATATTACAATGTAGAATCTTGAAAACATGCTAAAAAATACGCCAGTCATAAAATACTGTATCTTGAGTTTTCATTTATATGAAATATCTAGAACAGGCAAATCTGTGGAGAACAGAAGTACATTTTAGTTGCTGCCTTGGGCAGGGGTGGGGAGAGGGCATGAAGGTTGTCTGCTTTTTTTTTTTTTTTGGGTGATGAAGTTTTTCTAATTTCTGATTGCGTTATTGCTGCATAGTTCTGTGGATGTGCTGATCAGCCTTGAATTATGCACTGTTAATGGGGAATTGCATATACCATGTGAATTGTATACCCATAAAATTGTTACCCATTTTGGGCTTAGATTATTTGACATAATCTGTATCACTCTACTTTCCACTGTGTCTCTCTATCCTCACAACAAACCTATGAGACAACAAGCCGAGATCACTGTCCCATTTCACAGATTCAGAGGTTGAAGCATAAAGGAAATATTTGTGCCAGGGCCATTCAGATTCTGCTCTGTAGACTTTTCTTTTCTATACCTCAGCCAGCAGCAGAAATTCAGCAGCCTTTTAATTCCAACTGGTCTGCATTCTAATAGGGGTACATATTCAATGAAAGTTTTTGCAATAAGAAGAAAGTTTTTATTTCAAAGCAGAAAAGAGAAAAATCAGATAAAGATAAAGAAAGCAGGTGCAATAATATGAATAATAATGTTTCTTGCTTTTTACATATGCGTGGATAGCATGTGCATAATGATAGCAAGAGACTGTGGCAAATACCCAACATAGAATAGTATGGAAAATATGAGTCAAAGTGGTTACCTTTTATCTTATAATTCTGTGTGGTTAAGTTTATTCTTTCCATAAAAACAATTTACAAGGGATTAAGAAGCAATTATTTTGACTTTCATTTCCCTAAGGAATATGTGGACACTAAAGTGAAATAATAAGTCTGAGTTATTCTTTGAAGTACAGTTAATATGTAACCAGACTCTTCAGGCCAATGGCAGAGTCAGGAGGGCAAATGCCTTTATTTATATACCTAGTGGGAGGGACGGGGGTGGGTGCCCCTCGCCATTGGACACTGCCCAAACAGGAGGAAAAGTCATCATCTCTCTGTAGCAGATCAGGGACTTTCAAAGGCCCTTCGCATGACTTAGAAAAGAAAGAAAAACAATAACAACAAAAACTACCTAAGGAGTTTTCACTGACTGCAGAGTGTAACTTCCTGTCTTGTCTTCAGGGGAGGTTGGGTTAGGTTTAGTCAGATCCTCTCGTGGGAAAAATAAAAGCCACCAAAAAAAAAAAAAAAAAAACAGGACATCCCAGTGTGCAGTTCGCAGTCCGCTTTGGTTGTCCACTTCCTCTGCATCCTTTTCCTCATCATCTCAGCAAATGTAGGTGATGAGCCGCCCGACAGCCACCGCACTAAACTGGAAGAAGTGCAGATTTGATTTCCCCGGGCAAGCAGCTTTGCAAACTTGCAAGCGAATACCAGGTAAGTTTGTCAACTTCTGAGATGCCTGGCCAGCAAGGTTTCGAAAAGAGGATGTCAGCCAAGGCAGAGCTCTCTCTTTCACTCACTGAGCCGAATTTGTTAAATAACCAAGCTGCTGAGGGCAGGCCCCAGGGCCGGTGACAGGCCTGCCCTTCCTGACGCCTGTGTACCCTGAGCAGGGGAGACCAGCACCGCGGGCTTCAGAATGCACTTCTGAAGGTGACAACTTGCCAGAGTTATTGGAAGAAGAGCGCCAAGGAACCTTAAATTTGTTGTGACTAGTGTGCTTCGCTGTTTTCAAAGCAGCTTGCTCTGTGTTGGCTGCTCACTGTCAGAGGGAGTTTCCTCTGTGGTGCTGAATATTGATAGACCTCATCCCATATGGTATTCGCTCTCGTCTCTTGGTGGAGAAAGCATTTTAATTTTAAAAAATTTGTAGTTCAGTTCTGAGAGAGGGCAGAATTAGTCATTTGTATTTTGGGGAGGCATTATCAATGGGAGTTTTGTTTGGGTATGGCTTGTCCAGGGGACATGCAAATGTGTCATAGAGGAGTGTCATCTGTGCTTTTCTCTCGTTAAGTTCAGTCATCCATATCCTTCTTTCTTTCTTGTTTGTACCAGGGATTGAATCCAGGGGTGCTGAACTACTGAGCCACATCCCCAACCCTTCTTTAAAAAACCTTTTTTTTTTTTTTATTTACAGACAGGTTTCACTAAGTTGCTTAGGGCCTCACTAAATTGCTGAAGTGGCTTTGAACTCCAGATCCTCCTGCCTTAGCCTCCTGAGCTTCTGGGATTATAGATATGCGCCACTGTGCCCGGCTCAGACATCCACATCTTGTTTAATGGATGTATGTGTGTACTGTCTTATGAGCTTCCTGAGAAAAAGATTCAACTAATGTGTTTTGTTTGACCATATAGTTCATGAATGAATATTGTCACTCGGGAAAATCTTGTAGGATACTTAGAGTTAAAAACATTTTTTCTTTTTTTTTGAGATTACTCTTTCCCTTAATGTTTTCCTTTCGAGATCCATATGAATGAGATGGTGAGTACGTACTGTAAATATCCACAGCACAGAGCAAATTTAAATGAAAATGAATGAAGCAGCCTATAGCTTCTTAGTGAGCTTGGTTTCTTGGCCAAGTGTCACAGGATATCACTGTGCTATAGTTCTCCTCATTGGCTCCTACTTTATTCTCTTATTGAAGAATGATGTGGCCGCAACACAAAATTGAAATACCTTCCGTGGACCCAAATTAAAGCCCTATGCTTAGAAGCAGCCATTGGTTGCAGCATGGTAGCCTTTCTAAATTTCTTTGTATTCTCGTGTAATCCTCTTTGTTTCCTTAGCATGAATAGTGTCTGCAGTCTTGGCTAGTTTTTGTCTTACTGTCTTGCTACAGATGGTCTGGGTAGTTAGAGTGGTTGAAATTACAAGACCATTAGAAGAAAAATACAGACAAACCTTTAAATAGCAAGCAAACTCAGTGAGTGGACTACAGCTTCAAATATATTTAAATGCTGTGTAGGCTGATTTCTGGTCTATTTAGATAGCATTCTTTCCTCTTCTCTGGCCAGTCAAGGCTTTACGAAAATAGAAAGCATTTCTTTTAATAAAAAAAAAAAAAGTATCTCAGGGCATGTTATTTTAATAAAAATAGAAAACCAAACTAGTGTGGTTACCATATGAAATTCCACCAGGGTCCAGCTTCTCCTCATAGGTTGTTATGGAGCCCAGGTTTTCTTTTGTGTTGTTATTTGTTTATTTCTGTAGTGTAGATTTCTTTGGTGATCTTATTAGTGGTAGTGATGTTTCATGTTAAAAATAACATTTCACTGGTGGTTAAAGTATTCAGAGGGAGACCAAAGTTTAAAAAATAAATTGAAAATGTGAAATGGGAACGATCCTTGGGAGGCATCCTGGGGCACCTAGGCATCTGTGAATGCCCGGATGATTTGTGTCTGCAAGTTTCCCCTGTTCAGGAAGCTGCTCCTGGGAGTGCCTGCTCCTCGTGCCACCCTTCCTGCTCCCTTGTTGTCTGACAGGACTCCACATCTGTGTTGGCCGTTTCCTTTTTAGATGGACAGATTAAAAGTCTCAAAACCAAGTATTAGAAACACCACCGTGCTGAAGACCCCCAGCCAGGAATCCTGATGTCATTGGCCTGAGGCCTTGACTTTGAAGCTTTTTAGAAGCTTTCCAAGTGTGCCTACTGTGGAGCCACCACAGAGGGGCAAAAGGGGATGTTATTCATCCCCCTCCGACTGACACCTTGGGGAGGAGAGGGGCTGACTGCACTGTACCCCAGCCCCAGCTGTGGCTGCCAGGCAGGAAGGGCTCAGCACCTGAAAGGCTTCCTTTGGGCAACAGGAGGGTGGGACAGAGGCTTAGCTTCCCTCTGTGCTGTGGGAGGGGGTGGTGTGTTCAGAACTGGGTGTCATCTGGGAAGAAGCTCTAGCTGTTCCTCTGGGGAGCAGGTGGCTCTTCTGGGTATCCTCATGGGACAAGGCTGGCTGAAAACGTTGAGTATTATATATACACACATATATAATATTTTTGCAATATAATGATACATACCACAAAACATGAGATTTTAAAGCACAAAAGATAACATTTTATAATATAAAATATATAAAATGTTATATTTGAATATGATATCATTTTATATAAAATATTATATTTTATAATTTAACAATTTTGATATTAAATATTTTTATTATTTTTTAAAATACTTTTTGTGTTACTGGGGATGAATCCAGGGGTGCTATACCATGGAACTACATCCCAAGCTCTTTAATCCACCCCCCACCGCCCCTCATTTTGAGACTGATTCTCACTAAGTGGCTGAGGCTGGCCTTGAACAACTCATGACTTGGGATTTTCCTGCCTCAACCTCCCAAGCACAGGCATGAGACTTTCTGATCATCTTGGACTGTGTGCGCCGGTGCGTGTGCCCTTGCATGTGAGGGGGAGAGGAGGGAGAGGGAGGAGGAGTGGCCATCTGATGACACTTTCAGGAGGTTCTCCCTGACCCTGGCTCATTTGTTGCAACCCAGTTGGATTGCTGATGTCTTCCATTATTTTTTATTCTTTCACCTATTTCGTCAACATTGAGAACCTGGTATATGTCCTACTCTGGGGAGGGGCTGATGGCAGGAAAATAAAGGTGATCATTCTTCCTCTGCGGGGTGAGGTCCTGGGAAGGTTGCGTGAGAAGGCAAACACAAGGCCACGCGTTGGCTGACTGAAAGGACCATGGTCATCTGCCGGGGTGGAATATGATTAAAAAGCAGGAGAATCGTTATATTTGAGAAGGAAAGAGAGCGTGACTTGTTTGAAAAAGACTTGGGGAGTGGGTGATGAGCCATGTGGTGAACATGATACTTGGAGGGTGTGACCTGGCACTCAAGTCCTGGGCCCCAGCTACCCCCACCATGGACTGAATCCCTGAGCCTCTGAGATGAGGTCTCTCAATAGGTAGGATTCCCTCCAGGATTGTGGTCAGGATTCTTGGTGTAATAAGTTTTGAAGTATTTTGCAAGCTATAGTAATCACTCCAAGTTAAAAAAAAAAGTATAAAAATTTAGTAAAAATTATAAAAATTTAGTCAGTTAATAACGGGCTTTGCCTGCTCTTTAGAGTCTAGGAACAGGAAATCACACATTATGTTCATTACATTCATTAAAATGTTTAAGCTGGAACTGTGCACCCGTCTTCTTTTTAGTGTATTTTATTTTTCCTTGGCATTACTTGAAAGGCATGTTCAGCAACTGGTCCTGGATCTGTTTCATGTTTTCATTTGGGTTCTCTGACCCCTCCATAGAGGGCACCAGGTGCTTCCTATTCTAACCATTAGCAAATCCCAGGATTTGGTTGGAGAGACATTGAGGGGACTGGTATGACATGAGCACGGTGGTCTCCTCGCTCCTGCCCCAATACTTTGACCTTACTTTGAACAGTTCAGTGAACCAGCAACTCAAGTAGTTTTTTCCCACTGCTCTAGGACTTTCATTGTTTGGAAGAGGAAGCTGAGTCATAGTCCAATTCTACCATTGTGTCAAAGTGAAATTTTAGTCTAGGACTAAAGGAACATAGGTCACACTTTGTGAAATCAGACTATCGAAAGGTGGATTATGAGCTGGGCAGAGATTATTGTACAATGGCTATGCAATTGATATCAAGTTCAAGGAACATTTTATTAGAAGAACTTTTTGACCCCAAATCTAATTTTTAGTAATGCTTTAAAAAATCTTTAAAAATACATTAATTATTCAGACTCCTTAAAAAACATTCAATGCAGATTGAAAATTATGCAAAACAGAAAACTATCATTCCCTCTCCCCCATGATAACCATGGTTAATAGTTTTATTTGTCCTAGCTACATGTTTTCCTTATCAGTATGCAAATATAAGGCTTTATGTGTAGGTTCCCACAAATAAAGTTTTTCTCTTTGAACCAAAATTGAAATCATTCTGTGTTGGGGCCATCCCGTTAAAAATATACTAAAAATACCCGTGTACACGTATCTTAGTCCACTGGGGTAATTATTGGCGCAAATATGCTTTTACAGTTAAATTGACATCCACAAAGGGTAGAGAAGTGAAAAGTGGTAGATCTGTGTTTGAACTTGCTTTTCTTTTTTGTGCATTTGAACTTCTCTGCATATGTTTGCAGGCCCTTCCTGTGAATTCTTCAACAAATTGCCTTTTGCCTTTTTCTCATTTTTTTTCTGGAGTTTGGATTTCTGACTTTTAAACTCTTCATGATTCCAAAAGATATTCCTACTCCCACAATGGCAGACTGTGAATGACTTACTTGAATTTCTTTTGAGTTTTAAGATGGTGAACTTCTAACTTAAAAGACGGATATTATTTCCAGATCTCTGGATAGAAGTTTGAGTGTTTGGACTGAGAGTCTATATTTTCTCCTTCTCTGTGGGTTCATTGTGGAATCTGTCATCCTGAGCTGTGCTGAGACTAGTAATTATATAGGTGC